CGACAACAGCAACAGCTAAAATGGATATCAGATGATTCACACTTCTTCCCGGTCTTTTGAAAAGAATTGTTTTTTCCTTGTTCCCTGTTTAGGATTGGGTTTCCGGTGCCTTATAAAGCCTTTTAATTCTCAATTGTCTCCTAACAATCTCTTGCGTCTTAGTGGCTTCATCCCCTTGCTTATGATGAATTGATTAAAAATAAAACTCGGTGAGAAAATGACGACATAGTCAAGATGTTAGCTTTCAACACAACTTCAAACAAAAGGATAGGAAGGCAACTACTATCAATCCTGGAAAGATTGATAACAGCTACTGGACTTGAGAAAGCTATTTTCCTGAAAAAAATGTTTTAAGAGAAAATTTAATAAATTTCAACCAGCACTAGTACAAGCTGCTCGGTCAATGAATGTCGAATGTTTCCTTATAAGGAAACGGCTAATATTACCATTACTTTTAGTTTTATTAAAATTAATTTAGAGAATATAAAGATTTGGGCAATATATGACAATAATCGTAAAAAATATGTCTATATATATATATATATATATATATATATATATATATATATATATATATATATATATATATATATATATATATATATATATATATATATATATATATATTTTTGAAGAGACACTGTGGAGTAATGGATAGCGGATAGGATTGAGGAATGGGAGATTCGAATTCCAGCCGAATCCATTACGTTAAATTGCTTGCTAATAACCTTGGGAAAGCTCTGGGTAAATAGCACAGCAGAGCGGGTTGCCTTGGGTGGCAACTGGCCTGGGAGAAAAACTACTCTGAACACAAAATCTGATCCTCCAGATTGGGGCTTGTACAGTAGGCGAACAACTTACTCACTTAAAAAAAAATTAAACAAAAAAAAAAAGAACTGGCTTGTTATAGAAACGATATCTTGCGGTCCTATATTCCTCAAGGAATTTAAAGGCATAATAGATAATATCTTTTTTTTTGTAGTATAGAAGAAGAAGAATGACTAAATGAAAGACCATTTACTCAATGTATAAAGTTGAACGATTGGTCAAAGATTCACGCAAATCACGTATCAAAGTCAAAAAGAAAAATATATGAAAATAATCGTCTTTAAAATTCGAGATAATCTCGCCGAATGTTTTAAAATTACACATAAAAGTTTTTAAAAATTCTTTCTCTGCGCGTTGTTTTGTCTTTTAACTGTCACTGTTTCCAGAAATATCCTTTCGAAAATATAAGAAAGCATTATTGCTTTTGTTTCTTGTATGAATGAAGGAGTTGTTTATCAACAATGATAAACAATGGATATTGTCGTCCTCTAGGGTGGGGATTTTTTGAGAGTTGATAATCTTAAGAAGTAAGCATCAAACGTACTACTGACGACCCGTCGCTTAACAAAAACTACTCCTTAAAATATTTAACCTCACGTCGCTCCGATGCTACCTGATATAATCACCCTGCCACTGAAAGCGATGGGCCCCAGAAGATTGCGCGAGAGCTTCAGAAGACATTTTTAGGCACACTAAGGATTTATCAACCAATATATTTGAATTTTACAAAGATTTAAGATTGTCTCATGTCGATTTGGTTTTAGTCTTCCTTTTACACAGGTTGAGTCCAAAAGAAGTTCGAAATACAAACGGTTAATTTAGGCTGCAAATATTTGGCGCCAATATCTTTCCAAGGTGCAGTTGAAACACTTTTATCAGAATACAAAAATATGAAAGCTTTTAAATCTTCTTTTTTTTTTTAAGAAAAAAATGTCTTTCGAATAAAATATTTTAAGTTTTTCAACAATTTAATCATAAATATTCGTAAAGGCTACGGTCGAAATACCTCCCATATACACCTCCTGCATAATGGTAAACCATTAATAGCAATGATACCTGCTATGTAAATGAATATTATTCTTTTGTGTCATGCAAATTCTTTATTATGAAAACTTATATTTTCTATGTAAATTTCTTGCATCTAAATAAACATACATTTTTGTTTCCTTTATAAATTATACTGGCGGGGTGGGGGCATTATGTGGAATGTCATCGATTGCATTGTCCTACTCCTCTTTTTTTTTTTTTTTTGGGTGACTTTCTTAAGGTATGTACCGTCACGTCTTCCTGCTATTTTGAAAAGCCTTTAAAATTCATAACCATATCTTCAACTAGCTAATGTCATACAATTATGTGGGAGGTATTTCTGTCCCAGCCTGTGTTCTCTCGATGAAAATAAATATATTTTGTATGAAATTTTAAAAATATCTAAGTCCTTATAGTTTTTCTGTCGACAAAGTGTTCTATTGATAAATGAGAATTTAAATGCACCAAACTACTTGAGTTTTAAAACAGAACATTATATAAATATTCCTATCATCAAAATCGTTAGATAACGGTCTTCTGACATTGTGTTAATGGGAGTATAAGAAAAAAATCGAAGTATCAATCGACCGTCTTCCTTTTTTCGAATCATCTGGATCGAATAAAAGGTTTTCTTATTGCAAATTCTTTGCTCAATCCCGATCGCACGAAAAGTCAGAAGAAGGCATGAACACGAATACAAACGCGAATCCTTAATCGACGATTTTATATATGCACTCTTTGGAAAAATCCACTTCAACAACTGGAAACATATTATACTCTTCTTTAATCATACAATTTTAGGCATTTAAATCCTTTGATCACGCGATCCTTGACCCTCTTTCGTCACGCCACGTACCTGAATATATTACACAACCTATTTAATTTTTTTTTAAAACTTATTTTACTGGCAAGGGTTTGAATAATAATTCTCGAAAAGAACGCAATTTCTATTGACCAAATCGAGGCATTTTGTATCAGATTTTATTCTTTATTCTTTTCTTTGTTACAGTCGATTTGCATTATTCTAAAATTTCTCAGACAAAACCTCTTCCACTGGCTGATAACCAAAACCCCAGTGGAATTAATATTTTGTATAAGTATTGATGTATCTTTTCCACACACATTCCCAAGTGTTTCAAATAAACAGCAAGAAGAAAACAGCAAGAACTCTTTGACAACTTAGTAAAGCAAAGCGAGAAGAAAGGACTAACTATCAATTGTCATAAGACAGGCTATATGGTCGTTAGCAAGCGGAACAGCCCAAGAATGGAGATGTAAAAATCAAACATGTACAGAAATTTAAATACCTTTGACGTGTTAGAGCAGACGTGGGAAAATATGACAGAAATCTGAAGGTGAGTTGAATTAGTGAAACATGACTTACAAAAGCTAAGCAAAGTATTAAGAGACAGGAAAATTTCGTTAGAGACTAAAACAAGAATGATCAAATGTTATGTGATATGATTCCTACAAAATGACAGAGAATGTTGGACATGTTCCTCAAAGATGAAGAGGAGGCTTAAGGTAACAGCTAATTATGACTATCTATGATATATATATATATATATATATATATATAGGGAATGCTGGATAATCTCCACGCTGATAAAAAAAGACTTGTGGCAACTGAAATGTGATTCTACAGAAGGATGTTGAGTATACCAAGGACTGAAAACGGAGTAATGACGAAGTTTCAGGGAATATGGAAACAAAAATGAAGTTTATATTTAAAATCAGAATGAGATAGTTGAAATTTCTAGGACACATAAGGAGGAAAGAGAGATTAGTGAATTTGACACTCACGGGACAGATTGAAGTCAAGAGGGGCACGAGAAAAGCAGCACGTTGCCTACCTAAAAACCTAGATAGGAGGACAAGGACTGGAAAAGATTGTGAAAATACCAACATTATTTACCGAGCTATAAAGGATAGGAAGTTGTGGATAGCCATGTTCTATTATTAAAGAAGTAGTAGATATGCTTGACAATTCTTCTGCACAACTCAAGACGGTCGAGATTTCTAAGAAGCTACTTGGAAGTCCGATCTTTCAACAGAAGCACGTGGAAAGGAACACCAGACCGCTCAAGAGTGTTAAGCTAATTATTCGGATACTTAACGTATTACAGATACTTTTATCTGTAATTTTGTCAGTTGACCTGTCCAGATCTAAGCAACTTTATTTGATTTTACCATTCTAAGAAACAAGAATACCACGTTCACCGTGACGCTGGTAATTTTTATTTTTTTGGTTCAAATGATATTTGTTTTACATTTTAAAAGGATCTCGGTGTTGGACAATGCTTCACAAACATTTAGTCATCTATCGTTCAGCTGAAAATGTTATTTTAATCCTATTTTGAGTTCATTAACCTTGGGGGTCAGTAGCACGTAATTTCCTTTATTGTTCTTCTGCATGAGCCACTTTTTTTTTCAATGTAATTGGCTGTAATAAATATCAAAAAATCTAGCAACTAATTACATCTGCAGTGATCTTCAGTGATCTTGGTGTTGTGAATTTGACCTTACACTCCCAAAAATAAGGAAGGTAAAAAAGAAAGAAAGTTTCAATATCTGAGACGCTTTTTTTTTTTTTAAATTGCCCCATTTAGCTAGAAAATGTATTTATGTGATATTCATGACCTCTGAGATCAACTTGACATAGACTGATTACTTAATGTCTTGTGTCTATCTATACAAAGCCTGGCTCCCTGTTAATCTGTGTGCGTATGATTGTGTTTTTTGTGTGTGTATACGTGTGAGTGTGTGCGTGTTTTTTGTACGTGTATGTGCGAGTTTGTGTGCGCACGCGTGTGTGTGTTTTAATTTTTTTTATTTTCAACGACCGCGCGAGTTGAGATGCTTAGAATTTCCAGTCCGACTCCGAGTTGAGCAAATATGGCCCCCACACCGGCTCTTCTCTCGAGTGCAGTAAGACATTGTTATCAAACTATCGACTCTAGCAATGTCAATCCGACTTATCTAGCGTTCTCAGCGACTCCAAGCCGACGTGGTGACTTTGAAGTAAACGAAGATATTATTCAAAGATAGACTGCGACGAATGTCTTCACTAAAAAGAGAATGTATTTGTCGTAACATGACCAAACTTCCAATACAAGCCAAAATGTCCATGTATGCATAAAAATTACATGAAAGCAGCTCACACCGTGCACTAAATATCTATCTATCTGTCGATAGATAGATAGATAGATAGATAGATAGATAGATAGATAGATAGATAGATAGATAGAATTAAACAGACTGCAATGCATAAATAATAGCAGGCCACTCGTATCCGGGGATACCCGTCTATTAGGGTAGCCAATCCCTGTTGCAGACGCTCTCTCAGGCACATTTGTGGTTTATACTGCAACTATGCTGAGCAGACCTTAGTTACAGGTTCTGGGAGAGAGCGTGTTATCTAATGTGTTCATCAATTTGAACAAGGCCAACTCACTCAAGCCCTCGGCCACGATGACTTGTGGCTTTTTGCTAGCAGAGCTATGGACAGACTCAAAGGATTCCGTCTACCCAATATCACTCAATGCTTGTGTCAACACGTGGTATGCTTTTCAGGCACTTTCCAAAGGTTTCGCACGCTGGGATCGACCTCTGACAAATTGACCATGGTGAGATTCGAACCCGGGTTTTATGGTCAGAAACCGGCAAGCCATTGCACTATTTTACCGTGATTGTCACCATTAACCACAATTGCAACTGGGGGAAGTGATGATCAGTGCGGCGCAAAATAAATGATGATAATGAATCTAATATATTTGCATTGCAAACTATCCTTTTATTTGTCTATGGCAATATCAGAGCATTATGCCCCACCATGATTTCTGCACTTAACGAACCCCAATCTGTAATTTTTATTGCACAAGGTAAAAGAGAAAAATCGGCAAATACATACCTTGCTTCCTTTTCAATACCAGTTGATGAGCCAACTGCCTGGTTTCCCACTATTAGGATCCTAACATTTCCGCCGTTCAATTGGTCAGTCAGTCAGTCGGTCGGCATATTATCTGAAACTCTACACCTTCTAGAATCTCATTGATTGTCTGATTGATTTAAAAACAAGTGATTGGTGTTTGAATCAATGTATGTGTACTTAGCTGAGCAAACTCGCATTCTACCAGGTGCAGAACGAATCTTTATTGTTTTTCGGTTGGCTTTGCCATGGCTGCAAACATAGGGTTTCGCTTACCAAACTTTTTTTTCTGACGCCAACCAATTCTCTCTTGTGCTTCGACATTTTGGACTCTTGGCCACTATTTTGCGGCTCGGGTTGAGGAATCGGAGAGCTGAGTTCGAATTTGAAGTATAGGATTGGTTTATAAGGAATAAATTCCAATAACCAAAAATACTATTCCTAAAAGAGTGCTTAATACAGAGTAGAGCAAATGTTTATGTTATAATTTTCGAATAAATTATATATATATATATATATATATATATATATATATATATATATATATATATATATATATATATATTTATTATATTTTAGATGTGAGTTTGTGACCCTGAGTTTCACGCTTTTTTGATCTGACGATCGCAAAAAGCCTGAAACCCAGGGTTTACAAACTCACATCAATCCAACCAAATATGTTAGCTCTATCTCTGATATTGGGCGCTTTCTAATAAGTACCGCACATATAATATATAAATAATAATAATAATATATATATATATATATATATATATATATATATATATATATATATATATATATATATTTCACACACACACACACACACATATATATATATATGTCTGGAGGTCTTATATATTAATTCCTATCTATCTATCTGCCTCTCTAGCTAGTTGTCTCAGTCTATTTTTATATATCTCGGATAATATATCAGATTATTCCTTACGATCTACGTCCGTGTCTATCATTGTCCATCTTTTTGCTGTGTATCTCAGAGTGCTACTGCCTCGGACCCAAATGAATCGTTCGATATATTTATCCCATCCTGTTCTCACTTTTCTCGAGAAAAAAAAATGACCCTTCCTTTTGTACTCAGTCTGTACATATCTATCTGTCTGTTTGAGTATTTGTTTGGCTATCTCTTCGTATCCTTTTTATCAATACATTTCGTTCTTTTTCATCTCTGTATGTATCTATACAGGTCTCTTCGTGTACCTCTTCACATCTCTCACAGAATCGTATGGCCTATCTATCTATCTATCTATCTATCTCTATCTATCTATCTATGTCACTCTCTCCATATTTATCTATCTATTTATGTCACACTCATCTGTGAATCTGTTCTATTCAGCTCAAATACGGATCTGTCTGTCTGTTTGTCTCTGTTCGTATCTTTCACTCGATAACTACACCCCCTTTGCTTTGGATGAAAAGATTAAAAGTCTATCGATACAGGTGTTTTTGAGTCTATTTTTCTATGTGTCTCAGAATGTTACGACATAAGTGAACATTGAGTCAACACTTAGTGGCGAAAAGCTGTTTCATGTTAGACACAATCGTCAGACCACACACACACATATATATATATATATATATATATATATATATATATATATATAGTAAGAGAGAGAGAGAGAGATTCCTTTGTTTATATATACCTCTCCAGCTCACTCACTTCTTATCTATCTATCTATCTATCTATCTATCTATCTATCTATCTATCTATCTATGTCATTTGTTTCATAGTTATCTATTTGTTTATGTCACTATCAGGCCGTGGAAGTTAGATCAGCGAAGATAGATATCACACAAACACACAAACACACACACACAAACACACACACAAAAAAAAAAATAGGAACTGAGTCAAAAAGTAAACTTCCATTCTTGGACGTTCTCGTAGAATACAATAACCAGACTTTCACCACCTCATTATATAAAAAAAATCACTAGTAGGAACTCTTGCCAATTTTAGGAGTGAATGCCCACTTAGATATAAAATAACAGTTATAAAAAAAAATTCCTAAAGAGTTCACACGAGAATTCATCGTCTCGTCTACTTTTCCTTAAATAACTCAACAATAGTTCTCTAACTACCAGATTAGACCATTTCTTTCCAAAGTAACTAATAACGATACTGAACATACAGACAAAAACAACAACATTAACACCTTCTATAAAAGATAAATAAACATTAACTATAAGCAAGATGAATCTTCCCTTAGAAAGATAATAAAGAAATACACTACTCCAGTCGAACCGAACAAAAATTAAATTAATTATCTATTACAATAATTAAAAACAGCTAACATTATCATAAAAAATAACAACACATCTGCATAATCTAAACTACAAAGAACCAAAATTATTTACAATTTCAAATGTCCCTTAAGGAAGTGTGTTCCTGATGAAACCTTACTCGTAAACAATTACATTGTTCACACTACTACATGCCTATTCAGACGACTTACGTTACACCTATCAGACTCATTTAAACACACACAAAGACCTATCAGACTCCACCTATATATATATATATATATATATATATATATATAGAGAGAGAGAGAGAGAGAGAGAGAGAGAGACAGAGAGAGACAGAGAGACAGAGAAAGTGATAGAGAGAAATATAGATAGACAGATAGATATAGGCAGTAATCTTTAGGATTTAAGGGTGACTTTAAATTCAAATTCCGTCTTTTCCAACAATATGTACGGTACGTTTATATAAACTCTAACCAGACCCTTTCGAAAGATGCAATTACCTCAAGTACTAAGCAAGCGGAATATGTAGATACATCGTCCGTAGACGAAGGATGGACACGTATATTTATATTTGACATGTCAAATATTTATTTTTCATTATAATGATCTTCCTTAGATTAAGAGAGAAAGAGAGAGAGAGAGAGAGAGAGTGTGTGTGTGTGTGTGTGTGTGTGTGTGTGTGTGTGTGTGTGTGTGTGTGGTGTAGCGGTGGAAAGAGGAAAAGGATAAGAAAGCTGATCGAACGACACTGGGAATAGTTGAAAATAGACATGAAGAGAATACGTCTTATATAAAAGTAAATCCAAACATCTATTTTGATCATGTATGCATATTAGGGAAATTTATGGCAAAGGGGAAAAAGGTTTCGTGTGCCACGTTTTGTCCTATAGGACTTCATTGGACTAAAGTAATGTTTACATTGATGTGATTACGCCTGCGCGTAAAAAAGTGAGGACGCTGAAATTTTGATTTAAATTTTTCTATTTAAATATATATTTTGGGTATATAACCTTGGAGATTTCATTTAGTTTCTTTTTATTTTTGTTTATGTTTCCATCGCTTCTATCGCTTTTGATATTAAAAATCCTTTATTATTATAATAGATCTACCAAGAAAGATGAAATGAACCTGGACGTAAATTTACTGTGGATGATCTAGCGATTAAAGAGTTTTCAATAAATTTTCGTCTTAGTTAATTGCCATCTCTCATAACCTTTTCATAGTCTAAATTATGCTCAAACTGAGCAACTAATGTATTGAGTGCGTTGTTTTGTAAAAGATCCCGTTTGTGTTCAAATAATCTTTTATTTAAATTCCTTGAAGTCTCTCCTATGTATTCCTTGTGGCAATTATTACAGGTGATGCTTAGGCTTATTATTATTTTGTTTTTTATTAGTTAAGCTTTTTTATTGTTTTAGTAGTTGTAGCAATTTTTATGTTCAACTTAGATACATTCTGTTCATTTATAGTTGTGATAGAGTCGGTGGGTAGAACAATATATTTTGATTCGTTGAAATTCTCAGAATTGTCCACTTTACTGTTTTGAAATATTTTACGAGCGTTGAATATGAAATAATTAGTGTATTGGAGAAGCGTAAAGGTATATTCAATGTATTTCTCCTTTTCATATAAATATTGCTGGCAACAAATTCTGAGTTCTCTCGAAAAAGAATACGATTTTTTTTTTTTGTTATGGTGAGAACAGAAATTTATTATATCATTTTTATTAGTCAATTTGCGAGTCCTTTATATAGAAAAATGATATATAGTTTTCTCATATATATATATATATATATACATATATGTGTGCGTGTGCTCGCGTGCCTATGTATGTGCGCGTGTGTGTGTGTTAATAGAGGTATAGAAAAAGAGATGCATCTAAAGAGAGACACGAAATCACATATAAAAGACTAAATTGCGAGAGACAAATACAACAGAAATAAACGGACAAGTTAACGCAGTTCCAATATATTCAGAGACGCATATGTCGGTAGTTCTGAAAGTATTAAGATAGATAGATAGATAGATAGATAGATAGATAGATAGAAACAGCGTTATATATGTAAATAGTTA